GTATGGCGACAATTCTAACGAAAAAAAACTATAACTGTCACTGTCATGCTTGTCATCGAATTGTTGTTGTTAATTGTTATCATTATATAACATTGTTTGTGCTTAGGTGCATGCATATTGCAAAGATTTCAATCGGCGTATTGTGTTTTTCTGAGATTTGTTTTTTTATGTGACTTGGACTGTATTTGTACTTTCGAAATCTTTCTCTGCGACTGTTGAGTAGTGCTTGCCTAAGACTTCCGAATCTGATATTTTGCTGTGGATTTTGGACACGATTCTGTCCTATACTGTGGATTTGATTTCATTGTATCTACTATCTACGATATTATGATCAACGATGTGGAATAAAAAATATATAAAAAGTGTTGCATATTTAATTAATATCCCATTAGTAAATTATTAGAAATCCTTTTTTATACTTTATTACTGCTGTGGGCATTTTTACAGCACAGACATTGTATTTGAACTCAATAACTCTTGTCTGATAATAAGTATTTTGACGCGGTTGGTCAGTACCTACCTACTGTTGCGGCCGGTGAAGCGCCAGAAAAAAAAACTGTTAAAAAGACCTTTTCTACAAAAAAAAAAAACAAGTATCACCTTTTGGGCCCTGGAAGTACAGTTTTACCGCTACGGAAAAATGATCTTTGTGTGACAATTAGTCTAATATTAGTTCGGGTCTTTTAGTGGACGGCCTACATTGCCGATTCTACCAAAAAACCTTGGTATGTTGATTTGGACTCCCCTGGATTAGAAAATTTTTGTAATACATACGCGGGTTTTTTTATTTTATTAAACTTTTAGTTACTACTTACTATGTTTTATACTTTTCCTCCATTAAAAAGTGTGAGATTATTATTTTTCAATTAAATAACATTAGTCAAGTAGATTTACCGTTTGAGAGTAATTGTAAAAAAAGTTTACGTCAAATCCTACCGGATTTAATTACCGTGCTGAATTTTTGCAGACTTAATGACTGGTTTTTTAAAGAACCCTCTAAGGATGTCTTTAAAGTATACTTAATATGCTAAAAGACCTCATAGTTTCCGAAATAAAGGCTTTTAAAATTTTAGTTCAGTGAATATAGTATAGATCACATCTTGTGTCAAATCCCAATGTTCGGTGTCATATCCGGTAGGTCTGAGATTTTTTATACTTTTTAATGATATTGGCCCGCAATGAAGCTATGTCAAAAATAGAAAAAACCGCGCATGTTTCGACTTTTATACAGATTTTGGCTATTATCTAAAGGCGTCGTCCTAATTGGCAACGATCGTGCGATGGCGCGATGCGATCTCATCGTGCGATGAAAATAATGTACTTGTGCTCGTTCGACGGCTTACTAGCTGTATTAGGACACCTCTGAAGAAATCTGTATGTTTGAAAATCATCGCAGGATAAGACGTGTCATCGTACGATCGACGTCAATTAAGGACTTTTTAAAACGTTTTTTAAAGCTACAACATGAGAATTTTCTTTGTTTATCCAATAGTTTGGGAGATATAGTAATGTTCTGTGTCAAATCCGGTAGTTCTGAGTTTTTGTACACTTGTTTATGACGTTGGCCCAATCAATAGATAATCCAAGTTTGTGACTTCGAGCGCAAAACGAAACTATGTCAAAAATCGAAAAAACTGCGGAAGTTTCGACTTTTTTCAGATTGTGGTCACTTTAAAGGACCTTTTTTAAACAACGTGAGACTAGAATTTTCTCCGTTAATCCAATAGTTTCTGAGAAAAAAGTGATAAAAGTACCAATGTCCTAGTAAGCCTGTCCAGCCAAAAGATGTAAAAACTAATTTAAAATTAGTTATGTTATTTAAAAAAATAGTTAAAACCATAAATAAAATAATAATAAAAAGGTTTAACACATCCCTATCTGTTGTAAGAATCACGTAAATCGGGGCTGCTTTTCTGTATTTCATTAATAAACAATAAAAAATAAAATTTGTAACGTAATAGTTATTTTAGCAACTGTTGTAGAACGAGGGGTATTATAACATGATTTGGGTTTATCACAGGAGGCAAAGCCTAATGTGCTAACAGTATCACATGAGTATCTAAATACCTTATTATACAAGACTTTATGCACACCTATGATGTGAATCCTCTATAAAAGATTCTGAAAACATGAGGCGTTCTGAGAAGTTAAATTCATGAAAAGTATCGGCGCTCTGGTATAGTTGTATTGAGACAGATAGTATGGATCATGGAGGTTAGAGAGAAGAAGAACGATCGCTGTAGAAAATAGTGTCCCAGAAATATGGACAAATAAGTGTGGCGCTGTGATCACTAAGTTGTCTCAATAAAAGCGGGCTGTTGTACGCTAATGATGACCAATGCCGCGAAGAAAATTTGTACATTATTCAACTAACTTCATCTACTTATACTCATAAACAGCTAACTTCACAGATACTACTTACCGACGGCAGCGCGGCTGGCGGCTGAAAAAGGAATTTTAAATTCTACAAATTGTCAGGGACAGGCGGGATAATGCTTTAGCACGTAGCGATCGTTCTCCTTCTCTCTAACCTCAATAGTATGGTCAGTGAAATGCCCGTGAATGACAATGTTCTTTTTTGAAATTCATAATATCATGAATCGAGAAGTGACATTGGATGTTTTAATGTTGGCAATAAGCTAACTGTTTCAGAATCTTTTTATGAAGTTCTAAAGCATGGGTTTAGTTATAAAATTAAAAATTTCTTCACGTCGAAAAAATCTTTTATAAACTCGTATTGCAGGAAAAAATATCGGCACCCAAAATTATTACTCGCATTTTGTAAATAATTTTTATGTAAGTTAAACGAAATTTAAAATTATAAAATAAAATATCATGAATAATATGGGTTAATATGTACACAAAATAAATTAAAATGTGTTCAATACCAACTATGAATAGTTAATAATTTGAAACCTAACAGAATTTTGATGATTTTATCAATATATCTGAGTACATGTTACAAGTTCAATTCGGTTGTCTTTTCTTCAAATCATTAAAAATCATTTTACAGAAGCTAAATAGAGTAATTGGAAACCAATTGTATTAAAAAGGAAAGAAAAACAAAATAACGAAGTTCTTGGTAGATAAGTAATTATTAACCTAAGTAATAATGAACATTACGGTTTCATCATCAGCCTATTAATGTCCCCACTGCTAGGGCACAGGCATTCCCTACGGTTACATTACGGTTTTTTGCAATTTAAAGGTGGTTATGCTCCATAATGCTGCTTGATCGATCGAAGAGGTTCGATCAAATAGGCTCGATCAAGCCAAAATCCTTCCGCCAAGTGGCATGTCCTTCCAAATTGTCTCCCCACACACGGTCAATTTGGCTTGATTAAGCCTGTTAGATCGTTCAAGCGGCAGGATGGAGAGTGACCATCATAAGTTAACTTTTTTCGAGATTGCTACCGGAATTCTGAAACCAGCCGTTTCAAAAAAGAAAGCAAAACAAAATGATAAGCTACTTATTAGATAGATACATACATATAGATCATAATTATTAACCGAATAATTAATAAAACATTATGGTTTGATGCAATTAAGGTAAACTTTGCGGCCGCCGACGGTTGTTCACAGGCCGCCGTCGCGTCATGGTGGTAAGGTAATATACAGACGTAGCTTAATCAATTTTGGTACAAGTTTGAAAAATCCGAAGTAAAAATAATATAATAGGCTATTTGATAACATTAATACGTTCTTTATTAGTGTATAGTGACTTCATATAAAGTGGATTTAGAAGTTTCTGTTACTTATAACAGTAAAAAAACGAAAATAAGCTCCGGAAACGTTTCTCTAGTCAATATGGCGTCTTACAGGCATGTAACGCCACATAGCTGTCATTAAAACGTCAATCGGCTTATAGTAATGTCACTTAGACTAGACAGCATGTTTACAAGCAGGTGACGTCATTTTTAGCTCCGCCAATCCCTAGGCTTTTTCGGTTACGTGACAATAGATATGTAAATACTTTTCTTTTTTATGATCTTTAATAATATTTACTTAAAAAAACTATTTAAAAAATTATATTCTTTAACTACTATCTCTGTTAGCTACCACAATGTAGCATTGATGTAAGAGAAAAAGTTAGGAGTCTCATAGAAATGAAGCTACTCACGAAGTTTCAGATTGATAGAAATAAATGGTAAAAATTGTTCCTGGGATCCTGGACTATAAGTACTTTATCATGGAAAAGACCTGGAAAGCATTTATTGCATTAATAAATAAATACTCTTCAACCATATTCGTAACTTTTTATTTTTTAAATTACTGAAAAAGATCAATATAATTTTGAGTTCTTGTGGAGAATTGAATATGATGTAGCATCTGTTAAGGGGCTACAATACGCCTACAGACTGTATGTAGGTATTGTTTATACGTTTCTTCCTTTCTTTCGTATATCCTAAGTTCCTAGTTTCAGGGTCTGTGGCATATTTTTTTACGATTGCTGTCGGCAGGTTTGATCAACGATGAATTTTGCTTTCGGTCGCTTTGCAATAACTTCGGTTTTTTATGGCATAATATTTTATAGATGGGATTTTCTTTAATGTGATTGATTGGTTACTATTGTTGAAGACAGGGCATGTCTTTTAGGGGCAGTCACATTGAGAGAGACAACACACTTAAATAAAAGCTTTGACAATAATATTACTGAATATGATAATGATATCATCCAGCAATTAATCTCCAATCAAATTATTATCAATTGAATATATATTAGCAAACCTCCACTAGGACCTAACTAGTTTCTATCCAGTTTTATTTGGGCATTAGATACTTAAATTACTTAGTAACACGTGAAAGTGTAAATTCGTTAGAATAAAATAATGGAGCCATTCAATTGAGATATTTAAAACCCGATTAGAAATGTATTAATTACTTCAATGCGTCAAAGAAAGACGGCTTTGAATCTGGTTTGATTGATGTAAAATATTAGTGAGAAACAAGTATAGAAGGTATGGTAAAGTGACGAAAGCCAATACGTAAACACAACTGACCTGTGTGATCTTGTAGGGACCGACTCAACGGTGGCGCCGGCGGCGTCGCTGCATGCTCGCCACCGTACAACCCCCCGAACTCCTCCGCCGACGAAGACGACGCATTGCTGCACTTCCTCCCTTTATCCGGGGTGTATTTGCTCTCACCGCTGGACGGCAAGAACTTCGCATCCGCTTGATGCTCATCCAAAAGACCGGGCACTCCGAGCAGGCCCCCAACGAGGTTGGGGCGCAGCTCCTCCATGATCTTGGAGCCCTGGCCGCATCCACCGCCGCCGGTGAAGTTGAGCTGGCGGCTGAAGAAGGCCGGGAATATGTTGAACTGCTGCGGGTCCGGCAGCGCGGCGAGAGGCGGCGCGGGCGGCTCAGCGGCGCCCGCGCACGCCGCGCTCTTGAACTCCACCGTGCTGTGGCCGGCGCGCTGGCTCAGCGACCAGCGCGACTCCTCGGGCTGCTCGTCGGTGCGGCCCCGCCGCTCACTGACTAACCACATTATAGTGACGCGCCGGCCGCGCCGCCCCGCGCGCTAATTGTTCGCGACTGCGCGACAGGGGTACAGTACCGCCCACGCCCATGCGATCGTCCGTACTCCGTTCCCTACCCCCGCAATCGATGTGGACCGATGCTGTGTCTCATTCAGCCCCGTTTGTATACGGGGCGGCGACTAGGGGCGGCAGTCGCACCCCATTGGCTGAATCCTTATCCCCCCGCGTCCCGTGTCCCGCACCCCTCGCACCACCGCTTCAGGCTGAATGCTCTTTGTTTTATTGTCCCCATGGCTTCTCGCCGATCTTGCGTTTAAAGTTTATGCATTGCACAATGTTTTGTGAAACAAAACACAAATCATGCATGAAGTTCTTGAGGTAAATGTGTGAAATAGAGATGGGTGGATGTGTGCCGATGTTCAGAGTGCTGAGTGACTGTGAGGTGTTTGAATGATTGTGTCAAAAGTATTATCGATGTAAACTTTTGCATGTTCTTAATAAAATAATATCTTAATTAGCCTGGTATTAACAAAAAAAAATTATTTTACAACGAAAAAATATACATAATTACACTGGCCTGTAAAACTAAGTATCACACTTTTAAAACTGCAATAACTTTCTAAGTACACAAGATAGACTTTCGAAATAAAAAAGGATTCGAAAAAGAGTTTAATTTTGTACTACAGAGTCAAAGAAAGGTGAAAAAATTTGCTATAAAACATCTTTTATTTTAAATCTCTGAATTTATACAAGTCAGAGTTTAGAAAAAAAAAATACAAATGTGATACTTGGTTTTGCTGGCCAGTGTATATATGGACAAAGATATTGAACTGTTTTTTAAATATGTATAATATAGCATGTTAATATTGACTTAGCAAAATCTAAAGAATCGATAAGTCTGTGGATGAATTTGTAGTAACTGAAAAGTTTCTGTTTTTTTATACCATGACTTCAAGAAGATATTGTATAGCAGAATTTATTGGATACGATGGCAGATCATAATATTGTGATTACTTTATTTTAATCTTTGGAGGGCATTGCATTCCAGTGGACCTCGTGTGGCTGTTGTGCATAATTTTCCTGCAGGTTAAAAGAACCAGTACATGGAAATAACTCATCTGCTCAGCACCAAATGACATCAATTCGGAATTTGGAGGTTTGCTTCCAGAAGCATTTAAAAAGACTTGATAAAAGAAACTATGTAATGATATTAAATAACAAATTGTCTGTAAAGTCTTTGGTTTCAATTACTGAGTGGTAAAGTATGACTGATATTATCATAGATATTATCTTACAATGAATGCATGCTGGAGGCACAACCCTACCGCTTACCATTTGAAATGAAATGAATATCATTACCCTTATTTAGTTCTTGTGCCGAATGTTGACTTCTGTCGGTAATTATTTAAAAAACAATATTGCTTTTCCTTCTGGCCATTTCGGTATTTAATTTGGATAGGTTTTTGTTCAGATTGTTGTAAAATCGTTAGTATAGGTATTAAATGATTAATTGAATGATCAGATTGCTAATTTTATTTCAACAAAGTAAACAGAGCACTTGATCTTTTCTAACTCATTTATACAATTCATTATTTTCATGTTGTCATAGCAACATCTTTGGTCAAGATATGAGCTGTTAGTGCGCGAGCACACGATGCTTTGCGGCGCCGCACCGCAAAGATTTCGCCGCATCGGTGGGCACACGAGCGGTGCGGTGCCGCTACGTTGTTACGTCGCAGCGGTGCCGCGGGCACGGTAATATTATCTATACTGTATTGTGACTCCGCCCTGTCCTTGAAAATAAATGCCTACACCGAACGCTGCGTTGGCACGCGGTAGGGCCGCCAGCCTACAGTATTTTATGTAGTTTTGTTTTTAACGCGAGTGTAGGTAGATTACTCGTTTGTCTCTTTTTTCATCCTAACCACTTATTTATATATTATCCAAGTATTTTGCCCGAAGGAAAAACCGAAATACCTAAATATTAGAAACAAATAACGTACTAGTAGATAGGTATATAAAAATATTCTATAAAGGTAAGACACCTTTCCAATATCTCAGGTAATTTAAAAAATGATATCTCTGGGTGTGTGTGTAAAAACAGCAATTGTGCTGTTGTACGATATTGATCGTCGTTTGTTCTTTTCCATACTAAATTATGTAGGTATCTACTTAATTAAATCAAATATTTACAATACAAAACGCATGTTTAAGCACGGCTAACTGCATAAAAAACAATTCAAACCGTTCGGTCGTCGTTGCGGCGCGGCGCGACTGGGTACACGCCGAGAGCACATCGAACTCGAGTGGCGTAGGTATGACTCGCTTTCCGACCGTTTGTATGAAGATAGAATACTGTATGATATTATTACCGTGCCGCGGGCATCCCAGCAGCATACATTCTCTATGACGCATAAACAACTGAGCGGTGCCGCTCCGACGTCGCAACGAACGCAGTCACCCCTCCCCGCCTTGTCTCGGTTGTGGTTGCAAGTCCGATGCCGGCACCGGAGCGCATCGTGTGACTTGCCACAGATATTTCTATGTAAGACGACGCGACGCAGCGACACCGCTCCGGCACCGCATCGTGTGCTCCCGCTCTTAGGCCTGTATAATAGAAAGATTCTCATTAATTAATCTAGTCTTGAGCATTGTCAGAAATGGATTATGCTATATATAGCACATAGCGACATCCCTTTCAAACTGTGCTCAAGTAAAGATCAACATTTAGTTGTCATTCTGTAATACGAGCCTTAGTAGTTTTCAAATCAATGAACGTGATTGTACAATGTACATATCCTGGCTATACATATCTATGTAGGTGCTCGGTAAGAAAAACTTTCTTTGTCTGTTAGCGGTTTCAAAGTGGCTGTCATTTTGCTCTATGATACTTACTTGTTTGAGATTCGAGAGAGCTTGTCGCCGTTACTTTTGCAACGCAGAGACAAAAACAGTCCTGTTTCTATTTATTTATTTACTCTTTATTGTCATTTTACAACAAATGGCGGACTTAATGCCACATGACATTCTCTACCAGTCAACCATCGGGCTAAGCAGAGACATTATGCGGTAAAGTAAATAAAAGCAAAAGTGAAAGAAAAAAAAATGATAAAACTACATGACACTTAATATAAAAATTATAATACATAACGTTTATAAATATACCTACAAAACTACATATATATACATACATATTTATATAAACGATAAATACCTAAACATATACAATAATAAATACCACTATACTTACTTAAGAATACTATAATAAAAGAAAATACTATTACAAATAATATTAATTTCTACGACTTAGTGTACACAAAGCCCTACCCTCTTCTTAACAAACGAAGAATAAGCTTGGATTAGTTGCTCCATGTTTTGTCTCTGTTCATTCAATTACAAATAGCAGGAGTCATATGAATAGAACACGGTGTAATTAGTCTAAACTTATTCCTTGTTTATTAGCAAGGGGGCTCTTGTGTTTAATTCAAATCACACTATAATGTTATTTGTAATTCATAGAAAAATAGAAGAATAAAAGCAAAAAAAAAATACATCTAATTATAAATCAATCCAATAACGAGTTTAATTACTTTGAAAAGAGACAAGTATTAATACGGATGATGACTTATTTGTTTTTCTTCGTTTATCAGGTAGATTATCAAAAAGTATTGGACACGTATTTTACCTTTTTTCACAAAACATAAACATTGCAGAGATATATTGATTTGAAAAGTCGCATGACGTCACGTTTTGGTACAATTTTCACTAAAAAGTGACGTCACGACCCCATACTCCCAAACTTTGACGCGCTATAACTTTGTCATTTTTTGGTTGATTGCCCAAAGAAAAAATACGTGTCCATTATTATTGGATCATATAACTGACAGACTAAATAGAATTTCGTTTACTGTACCCCGTCATCACCCCTATTGTTATTGGTAATCTAGCAGATGAATTCCATATTACAGTATGTTTTCAATATTTATCTCTTATTTTGAAAATATACCAACTCATGGAAAGAGTCTAAGCAACATGTACTTTTGAACTTCAGTCCGATTTTTAACATTTATGTTATTTTGTAAATAATAATCAATTTAATTTATAAATAAGCACGACAGAAGTGGGAGCGAAGCCAAACTGGCGCCATAACGCGTTACGTTACGAGGCGGTTTACCCTTCCATAAGAAGTTATTACTTAAAAAGTTTTTTTATAACGATAATATAAGATATCTACTGATTGCTTAAATGATGCATGTTGCTTAAACTTTTTTATTGTATGTATAATAAAAGTCATGCGTATTTATTGTATTTGTAAAAAAATAATACAACTCGTAAATTACGCGGAAAAAATCCTATAAAACACAATCACGACGCAAGATGCGCCTCGCAACGCTTTGCCAAATAAATTATTTTGTACTACTTAGATCCCGTGACTTCGTGTGCGTGGTTAAATTGTTTTCCCGTACCAAATTTCACAACCTTTTCACCCCCCTGAAGGATGATTTCTGGGTTAAAGGATGGGATAAAAACTATCCCTTCCTTTTTCTCGGGGTTCGAACTACCTCATTAACAAATTTCATATAAATAGGTCGCTAACAGGCAGACAGAAACACTTTAGCATTTATAAAATTAGTATGGCCTGTTTTGTTTACCGTCTCCAGTTCTCACTGATGCTTGACGTATAGTGGGACGGGCGCGTCTTTGCTTTCAAAAACAATTCCTTTGTGAGAGACTAACTACTGCGGCGTAGCGTACTTCAAGATGCTCTGTTTAGAAATTTTCCCAACATTTTAAGGCAACCCTCCTTACCGGCAAGGGCGGATCTAGCTTTGGCGCCAGGGGGGGGGGGGGGTCATATAGCCAGCTTTGGCGCCGGAGGGGGGGGGGGGGTCATATAGTCGTGGTATATTAAATATTGAAAGTACTTAAATAAAATCACCCTGGGTTTGGTCCATCTGTACCCAGCCCAGGGTGGGGTCATGACCCCCATGACCCCCCCCCCTGGATCCGCCCTTGCTTACCGGGTCTATGTGGGCTCATTTCCTTTCTGTACTGAATCCGTACAAATTCTTTGCCGAGAACCACTTCTTGCTCGGCTTAGTTTCGGAG